TCAATTCGTATTCAATTCATTTAACTTCATTAAACACTTTACTTATGCTCGTTTTAAATATTTTCATATGTCGATTAGTAAGCATTGTATATAATTATTTAGTTGGATATAAACTTCTTATGAGCTCTAGATGCAATTGTTCATATAAACATTTATGTATAAATAATATACAGATTTATATATAGAAATAATTATTTAAATCTGTCTTCAATCACTAAGATAAAACTAAAATATGGTAAGAGTAAAAGAAAAACGTTTTAGTGTTAAGATCAACATTGTGATAAACTCGTCAAAAATGTATATTATTGACGTAGTGACAAAGTTAAATCTACTCAGGAATACAGAAGGAACTCGATTGGTATATATCATAATAATTCTTCAAATCTATGTATTTATATAAAATGTTTTATTATGCTTCTATTGCTATATCTAAGAAAGAATATTGTTCTAAAGAAAAGAAAACTTATGCAAAGGCAAACCATGGAAAGGGAAATTAAGACGACTCAACTTATTAAATATTCTGTTATTAAATTTCAAAACATCATAATTAATTCCATTTATTGTAATAAATGACATTTATTACAATTTTAATATTAAATTAATTATATTTAAATCGGATGGTTCCATTTGGATTCCATATTAAAAGTATGGATTAAGGTAATTTATTGGCTCCAGATAGAAAAAAGTAGTTCTTCAAAATTTTTCTAAGTAATATATCTATTACTTATTGGTTTGTGTATGAGTTTAATAAAGTTTAAAAAAATATAAATAAAATTAATTTTTTTTTATTATATTAAACAAAAAACGATCAAATTCATATAAAGGTAAATATATATACCTACGAATAAAGGCAATGACAGTTTGAAACGGCTATAAGGCGAAGTATATTATTCTTGCAAACTTTTTTTTAAGGTTTTATACTAACTTTTATTAACTTATTTTAAATCTTAGTTAAAATACAACTTTATTTCAAATGAATGAATATTAGTAATGTAATGAATATTAGAAACATTTGTTTATTATATGCAAAACCACAACTTCCAAACAAAATTTATATTATTAAAGTAGTGGTCATCCGTTGTCTCTTTAGTTGCTAAGAGGCTTTGTAGATGTCTTGAAATTACTGTAAACATAAATTTTTTTCAATAAAATACTTTTTTAATTTAAAATATTTATTACTATTATTTTTATTATTATTACAGTATCTTCATATACAATATAAGTTACTATTTTTTAATGTGAGGAATTTCGTTAGTTTTTATGCTAGTGGTCTTCAACTAAGAATGTTTATCGATAAATTAGCGAAATTAGCAAAAAGCGAATTGGTGAAAAAAGAACAGGACAATTTAAAAAATGTATGCTACTGCTATATTCATAGACCTAAAAATACAAGGATTACAGGATTTGAGAAAAGTGGTGAAGAATACACAGCGATGATATGATTGAAAAAGCATTGGACCAACTTAGCTTGCCAAGCAATATAATTATAATAATATACATTATTATATAATAATATAATAATATTCTGATCTTTTATTTCACTTATTTAACAATAAATATAAAGTGATCTACAAACATTCGTGGAAATATAATTGTTATATACATAATATTTGATAATAAAAAGGCGAATTAAGTAAAACACAAAATTAAATTGAGAATCGAACTTCCTAAAATGTAGAATGAAATTTACCATCGTAAGGCCTAATAAAATATGTCAATCGGTAGATTGTTTAGACTATTTTTTTAATTTAGTAATATACAAATAAACCCATTTACTTTATTACAATGATATATATACGATATATATTTATAATGTTGAAGAACCGAATTGTCGAAGAAGTTTATTTTTGACATACTCTTCAGAAACTATTATTTCAGTTCATATATAATTTATGCCAAAAGAAAAAATTAGAAAATTCTTATCTTTTTTTATTATTTAATTATTTTATTTACTATACTAAATTTATTACTTTTATCTTTCACTTATATTGTTTTTAATAAAGCTTACAACTTATATCATTATGCTTTAAAATATTTTGCTTTAAAACTAATATTTATTTTCTCCATATTAATTAATAATAATAATTACTTTTTAAATAAAAAATAGAAAATTAATAAGCAGTGCAAAAAAAAAAAATTACCATAAATTCTGCTCTGTTTTAAGTTATATGAAATTATCTAGAGCCTATCAATGGAAAACCTCAATAATCATGCCATGCTAAGTGAGCAATATTACATACTCGTATACACACCAGCACATAAATTACGTGGATTGATCAACACTTAACTTAATAGAGACTTCACACTTATTAAACAATTTTTATTATTTTTATATGTTTTTCACTTAAAAATATTTACATGTTTTTTTCTAAAATATTATAATTAAACCAAGTGCATTTTTAATTATTTTGATGTATATAAGCGAATTGCTTAGTTGCACGATTAACGAAGCATTAAAAAATCGCAGTAAATATTGGCTAACAATAGTTTCGAATACTGCCAGCAAATACACTGTAAAAATATATTTGCAATTGAAATTTATCAGTGGAACAGATTCAACTAAAGATGATAAATTTATTCCCACAATAATTAGCATTAAACAATAACATATAACCTTAAGGTTAAAATATCTATAAACTTTACGTATATGACAAGAATAATAAAAAACTTAATGCATTTGCTTAAGTAAAAAATGTCATTAAGTTCAAAAAAATGTAATAATAATAACATAAGATAATATAATATGTATTTAAGCAAGTGTATATAATAAGTAATCTTTTAACTGTGATTTAAATATGAGGTAATGTTAAACTAGGTGCACCTACCCAATTAGTAATTTTGTTAGCTCTAGATTATTTTCTTTATTTTTGCTTTCTTATTGTTTAGATTGCTGCTTTATTATTTTTCAGCTCTTAAGTATAAAATAATTAGTATTTTCTTAAAATTGTTGTTTGAAAATTGTTTATGAATCTCAATTAAATTGTTCATATATGTTAATTAAATTTCCATCCTCTGCATTTTTCCATAGAAAAATGTTATATGCATGATATGCTATCCAGAAAAAAAATTTAAAACCGCTAAGTTGCGTGTTAAATACAAAAACAAAAAATTATATAAAAAAATAATAACATATTAAAATAAAAACTGTATCTTTACTTATAATGAAGAATATATATATTATTAATTGCTTATTATATAGTAGCAATTTATTTGCACAGTGTTTGAATTTATTGAATAAAATATTTCAAAATGCTGATTAAAAAATTAATCAAAATTAAAATTAATTTTTTGTTAGAATTAAAAATAAATAAAATACTCTACACTCTACAGATAAATCTGCATGAAATTATTATCATTTTATACTATAAATGAAATGATAACAATAATAAAAATAATGAAAATAATTTATATGTAACCATAAAATGTCAGTAGGGCTCTTTGAAACATCTGCGTTGAAGTATGATAAGACAATACCATATACTCTCTAACGAATAACAGTTGTATACATGTTAAGAGCGTACATATCCAAATTTCAATAGGTCCGAACTAATAACAATCAATCGAGTAACAATACCTGACTTCGTTTTAGTCAAAGATATACATATATCTTTAATTAAATATATAATTAGTTCTATTAGACAGTGTTTTCAAGACCACGCTGGTACGAGTGAGATGCACCAGTCAAACAGCATAGCATACTATTAACTAAAAATATAATTTTATGATATCCACATGCCACTCTATAAGATTGGAAAATATAACCTAAAGTTATATTTATACATACATGGCAAATCGGCTAGGAAGTTGTGATTTGACAAACTTCTATAACTTCTATGAACTATACCACATAGATCTGGATCTGCTCAATATTTTTTGACTTCCATATTTTATGACTTCCATACACTATACGAGGACCAGGGACTGCAAAATATTTTTAAACTTCTATATTTAATGACTTCGATGAACTATACCATAAAGACCCAGGAGCTGCTCAATATTTTTTAATATCTATATTCAAAGACTTCTGTAAACTATACCGCAAAGAGTATCAGTTGTTTCATATTTATTGACTTAATTTTAATGTAAATATCTTTTTTCTAGAAATATTGAAGACATTGCTTATTTTATCAAAACAATAGAGTGGTTTTCTGATCCAAAAATGGTATCCGCCTACACATACTTCCTTTAATCAGGAAATAAAATTTTTAAGTGATTTAACAAAACACTGACTATGAATTCAAGTGAGCTTATCGTAAAACGAACTCTCATTGGCAATCGAACGGCAGGTTATATTATTTCTTCATTTAAAAGTAAAAATATTTTTTTTATTGTCGTAGAGCAAAAATTTCAGAATTATCATATTAAATTAAAATGTGGAATTTATGCTTATCATACTTAAGTCAAATACATTATATATTGTTATACATGCATTATACATTGATTTACTATACCTATTTATTACACCGACTTGCTTAATTCACAAATAATTTTTTTTGTAAATGTTATTCTATGACACACGTAACTACCTTCTCTGCCATATATATCTTCAATAATCTCTAATTGTTATATTCGCAGTTTAAATACAAAATCAAAGGATTCGGTTTTTTCCAATCCTGTCGCTGTATTACATAAAAGCCTCCTTCTCCTCCTCGTTAGATAAATTATTTTGAAATTGATAACCGATTATAAAAAATTGTCAATGCTTATTTGTAGGGAGTAAAAACAATAAAATTTATAACTAAAAATAAGGAGGAGAAAAACACTTGTTGCATATATAACATTAATATTTTATAGAGAGGTTTCAAATAGTATTGAACTACAACAACAAAATCTGCAAATTATTAAACTAATATAAAAAGTGTTTTTTGTTGTGGTAGTCCACTACTTTTCGAAACCTCTTTACCAAATATGCTAGTTTCTATTAAATATAATAGTAACTTATGTTATTAATAATTTATTTTATTTTTCCTAATAAAATTTTTGTTTATTTATAATTACAGTGGTCACTACAAACCCATCCAACAATCACTACAAGTGATGCTTCTCCATCATCAGAATCAGTTAGTTTATCAACAGCTAAAAATGTATGGTCAAATGAAAAATCACAGAAACCCGATCCGATGCAATTGCTATTTCGAAGTCATAGTCATGGAAATACCGATTCAGGCATTACCTCTCCTAACAGTCAACACAACATTGAAGAGGAGCTAAATGTAAGTAACAATATCTTAATGTCACTATAATGTATTGACTAGAGTAATGAGATGTAATCATATTTACAGTTGATGGATGTGTCTAATGATGAATTACGGTTACGCATAAATGGCATGTTACGCAAATCGACGCTTGATGATGAAGACAAACAATGTTTACAACATTTATCAACAATGATACAACAAATGGACATATTCTCACAACGTAGCGGACCAGACTCTCTAAACACAACCTCTTCTAGTGATGAACCTAGCAGTCTTGAATTGGTTAGTTAATTATTTTCATTCAATTCATTAAATTCATTAAATTTTATCATTATAAACTACAACTTTTTGAAAACTAAGCTCAATTTCAAATATATTATAAAACACGTAAATATATGACATATAAAAATATGTCTTACAGTTTTATATATATTTGAATTGATTTTTTTATTTGAAAAATTTGTTTATCAAAATTATTTGCTTGACATTGATTTTTATTAATTTTATATTCTTATATTCTTTTTTATTCAAATTCATAGGTTAAATCGCGTATTTCAGACTACAGTTCGGCTTCTTCTTCTTCCAGTAGTCGTTCAGCAAATGATAATCACTCAAATAATGTAAAATCATTGAAATCCATCGTACAGACAACAAATTCTCGTATAGTTGCAACCGTTTCACCGTATAACAGTTCACCTCAGCATCAAGTACCCACAAATACACCAACAGATTCTCCGCGCAAGCAACGACAAGCCTGGCAAAGTAACAGTTTAAGTGAGAGTGGTGTTTTTGTGGAATCAGATTTTCTAAGTGATACTAGTGAGAATAACGCTTATACCCAAACTGACTTTGAGGAGGAGACTATTTCAACAGCGTCTCGTTTATTCAATGCAGAATTACAAAAACTTTGTTCTGATGCGAAATTTATCCATAAAGTACCTGCAGCACAACTTAGTCCAAACTTAAGCGAACAGAAACGTTTGCAATATTATAAGGAACGCTTAGAGTTGTTGGAGAGTAAAGTTCTTATATACGAAAGTTCTGGTGATATACAAGCTAAGCGTTTAGCTGATCGGCTACAGCGGGAAATTCAATTAGAAAAGCAATTGAGAGAGTTACAAGATCGTGTCGAGTTTCTAGAAAGCGAAAATTCCACACTTGAAGAAGAAAAGTGCGAGTTTGAAGAAGCCGAAAATGATACACGTTTACGTTTGCAAAGGCTTGAGGTTGAACTGGAAATATTAAGACAACGCAACGTTGAGCTTGAAATGTCCAGAGAGGCACTAAGTGCCAAATATAAAGACTGCCGATCAGAGTGCCTTATATTACGTGACGATTTATCAGTGAGCGAAACTCAAATACGACACCTCGAAGAGGACAAACAAAAAGCCAAAGAGAACTTAGAATTCTTACACAATACAGTTTGGATAATACTTTTATATAACGCATTAGTTGTTGCACCCATACGAAAGCAAAAAAGTGCAACAAAATTAACAGAAAACTTGACAATGGGTAATACCGAATCACATCCATGCTTTTGTGCGAATAATGCACTCAGTGGCAAGTGTTCAAGTGGTAGTAGTCGGGGCGGGATTATAGATGAAGAGATTAGCAAAGTTGAAGTGCAATGTCTACGAGATCAGATTACGTGCTTACAACATCAATTGAAGGAAATGGATGCACGTCATTATGAGGCTATGGAAATTGCAGATGCCCATTGGCATGATCTCGAAGCAAACTATAAGGAGCGAGAACAAACGCTTATGGCTAAAGAAATGTGTCTTAAACAAAAAATTAATAGACTACAAGATGTTTTACGTGACGATGCACGCGCTGCGGATGAAAAAATACTCTGTATGGAAGAATCCGAAAAGGAATTAAAGAGTTGCATAATGAGGTTAACTAAAGAATACAGGGATTTGAATGATGAATACAAGTGTTTATGTTGTGAAATTGAGCAATTCAAAGAAAAACAAGAAACGCTCGAAGATAAACAGAAACCTTTACTGGATGCACTTGAGCAAGAAAAGAAAGCAAATAAAACTTTAAGAGACGAAGTCAATTTTATGTGTAAACTTCAACAGGAAACCGAAAAAAGTAATTTGACAGAAATAGAGTGTCTACGTGGAAAGTTGTATGACTTGAAAAAGGAAACTTTGCATATAGAAGTAACAAACAGTGAACTACGTGAGGAGGTGGAAACACTGGAAGCACAAATTAAAGCTATGGTTATTAGGGAAAAAGAAAATGATGATAAAATACGCGTACTGACAGATGAATTACGCAATAAGGAGGAGCTTTGTCAAAAATATGAAAAGCAATTTGATAATCCTTGTGATGGTTCTAGTTTGGCTGACGAATTAGGAGCTGGACCTTCTAAACGACATCGCCGTGAGGAGGTGCATGATTTGAAAACAGCAACCGAAGGTCTAGTGAAAGTTCTCAACACTTTGCATGTAAGTTACTTTATATTATCAATATTTAAACATTTTGTACAAAGTAGGAGAATCTGTTTTAGGGTTGTAATTTACCAACTGAAAGATACTTTAGATGTGTAGCATTAGAAGTACAGAAATTAGCAGAAAAAGTTTTGTCTACTCAAAAAGGTACTGGTGACGATAAGGGTAAAGATAAAGATAACGATAAGGATACAGATAAAGACACAGATAAAGATAAAGACACAGAGAAAGATGAAGGGAAGAATATAGATGGTGCAGCTGTATTGGTTGTTATAGAAGATGTTGAAGACGTTGAAGATTTAGTAAAAAATCCTACAACTAGTAATCCCCCAATAGATACTGTAGAAAATATTGTAACTGAACAAGAACCACAAAATGAACCTGACCGTGATACTGGAGGTCAAGAAAATAATACTACAATTGTTGGAATATCATTAGTTCCGCCTTTTTCATTACCAAGAAAATCACAAAATGAACCTGAAAGTGATAACGAAGGTGAAGAAAAAAATACTACAATTGTTGGAATGGCATTAGTTCCGTCGTTCTCATTACCAGAAGAAGAATTACCATCTTGCTCAGAATTGGAAAAGAAACAAATATGTGAAGTTCCTTCAATGTTGCGGAAAATTACTTTGGAATCAAGTAAATACTCAGATGTGATGGTTACCAACCTACGTAAGATACGCAAACGTCGCAGATATAAGTCTAGTCTGATATCGATACATTCACGTCTTCGTCGCTACATATCTTTAAATTCTCATAAATCAAGAAAATTCTTTGATCTACCAGACGGTGATGATGAGGAAGTACAACGTACGGTTTCATATGAAAGTTTTAAATCTTTTGAAGAAGATGTGATTGAGTGTTCATCAAAAACGGATGCCTTCACCTCCACAGAAATTGAACAAGAAAATAAAAGAACGCAAACATTTACAGAGAAATCGGAAAGTTATGTACAAGTTACTGATGATTACAATGCAGAGAAATTAATGCAAGTCATACCTTCCGATATGCGTAGTTTTGTTTATATGCTGAAGTCGACTGCTCAATTATCAAATAATGAGTCAGATGAATGCAATATGAAAATTGTACAAGAGTGGGAACTTAACAAAGAATTTCGTGATGGTATTGTACTGCTTAGAACTTACACTATCGCTCAAACAGAGAACAACAAAAAACCATTCGAAAATTATGAAGATTATGTTCATGCTTTGTCAACTATTCAAATTCTCAAAGAAATTTTCAAACCAGCCACAGTGCCGGTTCGTAAATGATATGAGACACATGAGACGTTTTAGACTAATAAATAATTATGGTATATGATAATTATAACTAAACACGTCTTTTGTACCTCATCATACGATTAATTAATGAATATTGTATTCTATATATTAACAACTTACTTTTCCTTGCTTGATACAGATACTTGAGCGTTTCGAGACAGGAATTAATGAACAACTCATGTTATACCACACTAATCAAATGGAATCCAGGTTCTATTGTACTATTTATGTACCTGTCAAGCGTCAAATGTCATTCAAAGTAGTTAATAACGCAAAGAAACTATAAGAACTCAAAATCTCAAGAACTGTAAGGGCTGTAAGCTGCTGTCCTTTGTGTCGCTTTCGCGATATATATGAAAATTATATAAAACCAATCAGATATATATCTAAACCAAGAATTCATATACATATCTCTAAAAATACAACTTTTGGTAAAAAATATATACTATAACTGTGATAAAAATAAATTTTTATGATTTCAATTTTTTTATATGCATATTTTTGATGTACATAATAAAATGATCCGCCTATGTTTAGTGCTTATAACAGAATTTAGGTTTTATACTTTCCGTATTCCAAACTATAGGTTATTTTGATTAAAAATCAGGCTATAACCGATGATCTTTAAGATAAAATTTTAATTTCTTTACGTTTTTTAGCAAGCGTTTAGCAAGTTTCGAGTATTAAATTGAATATTCATTTTCGAAATTTGAACGCATGAAGCTAATACAAAAATATTTATAACAAATTTTTTGGCAAGTAAATTTTATTTGCCAACATTTTAATTTGCAAGTAAAAAGAATGCACACAACAAATTTCAAACTGCTTGCCGCAAACTTGCTAGTGTAGGCCCTGGACAAAGCACTACATTTCAGTTATAAATAATATCGTTTGTATTGTCGTCGAGTCAAAACTCGTTCAAGTATAGTTTATTTTGTTGAAAACTTTCTTAGTTACTTAAAGCAAGTTTTGGCTAATAGCAATATTTCAAAATCTCTTGGCATAAACTCACAAATATGTTTTCAATAAAGTATGTATTAATAATATTCTTACAAGAAGAGATATTTGTGCTCGTAGGTTACAAAACATTTTTTAGTACGTGAGCAATATTGCAATTAAGAGTAATGGGATTCTATACAGAAGAAATTTCAAACAAATATATGTGAAGTTTAATATATGTTATTCCATTTGAAAGATTAAAGTTGTTTTCTATTTTTCTATCTTTTTCCGCATCGCGCTAATGGAACATAATAGAGGCAAAATATTATAATAAGAAAAAAGTTTCTCTTATAAGTATTAAATTAATACTCAAAATGTTTCAAGTAAATGATTTTTTCCTTTAAAAAACAGAAAAAAAATCATTTGAGGAGGGATTAATTTTCAATAATTTCCGCGGCAAAGTATTGCAAGGTCGGTATGAAAAAACCCACCTGTGAAATAATACCTAATGTCTCAAAAATGGTTTACTGAAATAACATAAATCCTATATCTATTCGTAGCCCATTAAATACACTTTTATATTTGTTGGTTTGTTACATATTATAAAAAAAATTTCAATCTATTTTATTTATTTTTCGTATATAAGCAATATTATACAACCAGTCATATAACAAATGGTCACGGCAATTTTATGATCTTTTTGATCATGACCAAAATGGAGCCATTTGACAATTGTTCATTTCTACCTTTATTACTTATTTTGGTAAGTTTTTTTTTTTTGGTTGAATTTAAAAGATATTTACTTTTATGTGTGGATGTGCTTACATACCCACATAAAAATATGCAGATTTACTCCCTACAGACATAAAATCATGCACTTATCACTGAACAACACTGTTATGACCATATGATGAGACATAGATAGTCTCGTCATTGTTGACCAGATTTGAATGGAAATTTTTCTTTTTAATTTTTCTTATTTAATTTTTTAATTTGTATTGAACACAAAAACAATTTCATATTTGATAAGACTTTCTGTACAACATGGCCCTAACGAACATTTCTTCCAGGATTTCGGATTTATCTTGCTATGTTTTTTTGCCATCCGCTTTTGAAAAAAGCTATTTACTGTTTTTCTCGATATAACTTTAAAAGCCTTTTGCCATAAATTATGTATTAATAATAAATATATATATATATACATATGTGCGAGTTCGAGTAAATTGATGGTAAATTGAGACAAATAATAAATAATGTCGGTATGGCAGCGAATGTTGATATTTACCAGAATTTTAAGTAGGGTAAAGTAGATTAAAATTAGGTGTTGCCGTTACCATTGTGAAAATTTTATAAGATGTTTAATAAATAAATAAGTAAATTTGAAAACTTTTAACCAAAAATAATAAATAATTGCAATAAATAAATAAATATTTGCATAAGTGCAGTGCAAAAAATCGCTAGGAAATTTTAATTTACTTTACCTCAATTTACTCGAACTCACACACGGCCATAATTACGTATTGACATATGTGAAACCGAAAAAAAACTAAAACTTGCAACTTGTGGTCATCAATTTTTGTCAGAGTTGTATTTCAAGCTAAGTGAAATTAACGTTGTCAAATAAAGAACTTATTAAACATAGTTGCCTTTGATTTTACTTCAATTCTTACTCATAAATCTAAAAGCAATGTTGTGTATAAAATAAAAAAAGTTTTTCAGTCCAATTCAAAATCTAATCCAGAACAAATTGTATGCTGTTTACCAAATTTATTTGTCCCGTCAAAATTTTACGTACAAAATTGAATGCCGTTGGTCGTTAATGCTGAAACATGGACACCAGCAAAAAGTGTTGCAAACGTCGGTGCCAGCAACAAGCATTAGCGCAACGACAAATGTGCAAGCAGCATACAGGACAATGTCTACCACACTTAATACCTGTTAGACCAGTACGACAACAAAATTCCACTCAAGTATTATTGGCTGAGCAAAAATTAACGGAAACTCCTAGTGAGTATGAAGAATTCTATGATTGCCTTAGTGAATCTGATGTCCAAAAAGAGACAAAGTCACGTTGTAAGCACAAAAGCCGTACCCCAAAGTCACCGCAAGGAAACTTTGGAAACGCTAAAGTTTTTGAACATGCACTTAAAGAAATTGTGACAATATCTGAAAAGCTATTCGAAAAATATGAGGATGCTATGCGCCAACAAATTGGTGACAATGCCCAGCGTTGTAGTGATGATACTACTGCCGTTTCTACATGCAATAAAAGCATGTCTTCATGGAATTCAACAAATGCTGCCTTAAGTGATAAATGCACTGATAGATCAACTGATACGGCATATACTGAAAAATGTACCACTGATACTAGTGCTAAGGATACAAATTGCGAGACGAGCAAAATATTGCTGAAACCTATCCCACTTATGATACCAGTTACGGTCCAACCGTATATTTATAGAAGTGATATTGAAAATTCAGAGCGACAGTATTCACGTTCAGCCAAAGGCTGTGAACCAATACGCACTTCTATTATTGCTGGATCTGGTAAAATGAATTTAACAGATACCTCTTCGGAACATGACGAACAACTACCATGCTATCCAATGATAAGGAACGCACCATCACAGATAGACACTTGCTGTGGAGTTACTGATTATGAACCGATTTGCCGTCAAGCACAAGAAGAACCGGAGGATATATGCACAGGTGACTCTTCTTCTTGTTCTTGTATATCTGAACCTTCATCTTGTTGTTGTAACATTGAAATTCTACCCGAGCCTGTTCCACCGGAACCAGAAGTTTTGTCAGGCCCTGCACCACCACCTAAGCCCAAACGCAGACCATACCGTTTAGCTATACCACAGCACAAAGAAATGAATCTTTGTACTAAGTGTCGTTATGATCCAAGCCCTCTTATTAACGAAGCTGGCGAAGTCTTTTGTCCTGGTAATTGCGGTTGTTGTTTATGTCCGTGGAAACATCGTTTAACAGAAAGCAAAATTCAACTGATGAAACATGACAAAATTAAAGTTTGTCGTTGCCGCGAACGTGGCACAATTTTCACTGATTTTGAACTTCAACCACACTGCAGCCAGATGTCATATTACGATGTGTGTCCTTGTCGTGAAATTGCTGAAGAAAAATGCTTGGAACTTTATGATAAAGAGTTGTGGAATGCAAAAACCAAGTCTTTAAATGAAATTGAGGAACGTCGAGTCTCATTAAGCGAAGTAGTGGAAGTGCCTATTGCGAAATAGTTAATCAAAATAATGGCGGCTAAATAGAACATTTTTTACTTAAACTTTTCGGCTCAAAACCCAAATAGACAATCATATAATATCTACACATTTTTGGCTATATTTTTTATACTTATTTATTTTTTTAGAACATTTTTTTTTTAAATTTACAGTAATAATAAAAACATGTTTTTCTTAATCTAATTCGTGTTTTTTTCTTTCCTTCTCTTTGCATGTGCAGACATCGAAGAAAAACAGTCCCAAAATTGTTTTAACGGAAGTGACCCACATTTAGATACTAGTTCATCTCCAGACTGCGCTCCAGCATGTAAAATCACATATTATGAGTTACGTAAGCAACAAAAACAACAACAGCAACAACAACAACAACAAAATTTATCCTGCAACGCTAATATAAATTATCCTACTAAAATGAGAACCTTCATGCAAAATATGCAAGAACAACCACAAAACATTGAAATGCCACGTCAAAAAATTTGCCGCTGTGGGCGAGTTAAAAAACAGCAAAATGTAACAGTCAATGCCTACCAGGAAGTAGCACCTAATAATGATGCACTTAAGCGCTCAAAGCCTTGCGGTAAAGGTGCGTCAGCGGCTGATCTACATACAATTATGAATGAACTAGCTTCATTACAGCCGCCAACAGATAACCCTATACGAAAAAAGCCTTGTAACTGCAGTCGAAAAAATGAAATGTTAATGTCAAAAAGTGAGAATGCATTTCCAAAAGCTGAAACTCATCAGCATTGTCAAAAGAATAACAATCGGGGGCAACTACCTTGCAACAGCGTACATAATATGCAAACTTGTAATGCTGGGCAGTCATTTGTTAATAAATGTTCTCACCCACCGGTGCAATCTTCTCTTCCCACAAGTGGACGAAGTTGTGGTAATATGCACACATCCTGCAATAAGCAACCTACAATGTCCTCCAGACCACAGACGTGTAGTTCAAAAGCGGAATCAATATATGGTACGCCAGAGTCCATGGGTTCCTATGACACATGTCCAAAGACGAGCTGTGGTAAACAAAAGTCAGAAATACAAATCAAACCACTGTGCGAGCTTCAAGGGAATGATGCCATTGGTAAATCATTTTATGCAACACCTAGTAATTCTTCACCGTGCCAGCAAGCAAACTTTAATCAAATGTCAACGCCTAAAGTATGTAAACGTTTTCCATCTAACACCCCATCAAAAACATCGTGTTCGCCTTCAAAACATTCTTTATATAAACCCTGCAATCAACCAAGACCTGAATCGTCTAGTACAGCATTACATACAACCTGTGGTCAACAAGCATATCAGGCACCTTGTGGTCAGCCAAAACCACAATCATCGAATATAGCGTTGCAAAAATCTTGTGATCGGCAAAAATCGCATGCATCTTGTGGTCGTGCAAAACCTCAAGCCTCTAAAACAGAGTTACAAATGCCTTGTACTCAAACGAAATCTCAAACCTTCAGTTCACCATCACAGAAGTCATGTGGACGTGTGAAAACACAACCTTCTAATGCAGCATTGCAAATGCCTTGTGGACAAGCCTCTAAAGCTACATTACAAATGCCATGTGGTCAAGCAAAATCTCAAGCGTCCCATGTAGGATTACAAATGCCTTGTGGTGCAAAATCTCAATCCCTTAATATACCATCACAAAAGTCATGTCACATGAAACCTCAAGCCTCGAATATAGGCTTACAAATGCCTTGTGGTGAAAAAAAATCTCAAATGCTCAATACACCATCACAAAAGTCATGTGGCCAAGCAAAATCTCAAGCGTCCAATGCAGCCCAACATATGCCTTGTGGTTTCACAAAATCTCAAACCTTGAATGTACCATCACAAAAATCATGTGGACATGCCAAATCACAAGTCTGTAATGTAGGAGCACCTATGCCTTGTGGTCACGCACAATCTCAAAACCTTAATGTTTCATCACAGAAGTCATGTGGACATATGAAATCACAAACCTGTAATGCACCAAGTCAAAAACCATGTGGACAAATGAAGTCGAAAGCATCTAATATGGCATCACAAAATCAGTGTGGTAAATCAAAATCACAGCAATCCCATATGCCATGTAAACGTAGCAAAAGTGAAGTATTTTATTCTCCAGCTTCATCCGATGGCGAAGATAACGATAGAACCTGCCCAGAAAAAAAAACTTGCTCAAAATTAAATGAAGCAAAAGCCAGGAGTCTTGCTATTCTAAAGTTATTGCATGAAGTTGTGCATCTCATTAATGAGGATCACCCGGAAGAGAATCCCTGCTCATACAGTATGCTTGAACGAGAACTTTCTCATGATATGCCTAAGTCGATGCCTTCATCTCCTTGTAAAAATGTGCAGGTTGAGCAACAGGAAATATCACCATGTTCTAAATCGACAATTTCTCCGTGTTCTGAGCCGATAGAAGCACCTTGTTCTCAACCGGCAAAAATGCCCTGTTCTGAACCGGCAAAAATGCCCTGTTCTGAACCGTCACCATGCTCAAAACCACCGCCATTGGCAACTCTACCGTGCAATCTAATTATATCACCAGATATGCAAATTACAATTGCTCAAATTCTAGCTGGTGGAGCACCACCACAAACCGCTCTATCTGCAGCAATGAAACCACCGCCCTGTGCAAAAGACCTAGAATCCACAACTGATACATCAATTGGAACTGAAGAAAAATGTTGGCAGTCTACATTAGTAAAATCATTCTATCATGATTCAATAGATACATCTCAAATGGATCTACCGTGTTCATGTTCATATGAAATGAATGAAGCAACAGAATATGAGGAACAGCCTCATCACATCGATAATAACAATGCCTTATTTAAAGAACAAGGTGGATATGAAGAAATGTCCTATAATAGAGACACTGGTGGAAGTGCGGCTGAAGAAGAAAATTATCCGAATGTGTTGAATATCTATGAACCGCAAGCGGCTGAAGAAGATAATTATCCGAATATGTTGAATATCTATGAAGCGCAATCGGTACGGGACACAACAGAAACAAGTAGTGATGGCGTTAAGGCTGCTTTCGTTACTATCATTGAAGAACTAGTTACTCCTTGTAATATGATTGATAATTCGCCTTGTAATTTGGGTAATAATATGGGTAATGATATGGGTAATAATATGGGTAATGATATGGGTAATAATATGGGTAATAATGCTCCTTGTGGACCCAATCATTGCTCGCAAGAAGATTTAAGAGTACGGCGTGATTTACTGTGCTCACAACCACGGGGTGAAGAGCAATGTGATTGTACTGATAATGAACCCGAACAAAATGTGGTTGACAAGGGCTGCAATATGCCACCACCGCCACAAGATAGCTGTTCAGGTAATAAAGAAATAATTATGCCTCAACAATGTCCTGATGAATGTGACGAACCTGTTTTTATCGATGAACCTTGTGATGATGGTAGTGATGACAAAAATACCGGCACATGTAGTGATACTGATAATGAAAGAGTGCCAATATGTGGTAAGGAAATGAAGGAAAACCAAGGGGATGATTGCAAGTGCTGTCATTGTCGTGCGATGCGTGAATGCCCTAATGAGCATAATATGCAACTCGTACGTACAGATTCATGCACAGAGGATAAGCCACCTAAAAACGATGATGATATGGTAAATATAACCTGAATTTGAATGATTATTTTCTTTTCAACACAATGGGTTACACTGTGTTTTTAATTTTTTGCAATTAACGTACTTAGTATATACACTGTGCTATAATGTTATAATTTGATTAATCTATTATGGAATACTCACATCTTTATAATATTTTTTTTGTTTTTCCTTAGAAATTCTTTATAAATTCCATTATAATGGATTTAGAGGCAATGGAATATGCAAGGCGTACTAAGAATAATGACCGGGTATGTTAAATTTTAATTAATAATTTTTAAAGTATGTCAATATTAACAATATTGTGTGCTTACTTTTAATTATTTTAATATAAATATTGTTTTTCTTTAGAAACTATTCGCGAAGAAGAAAAAAACTGGACCATGTAATAGTTTCCCAGTTACCATAACCGATGTTTCAGAACTTGGTGCTACCTCCTTGTACGTAAAGTGGGAAATTGAAGACTGCAGTAATATATCTGGTTATGAGGTACACAATAATATTCAAAATATATAAATAGTAGTCATTATTATCTAAAATTTGTTCTCAGATTTTCGTTGATGGCTTCTTGACCAATCGTTACTTCAATTGCAGTCATACTGCTGCTGTTATTTGTGATGTTGATGTCACTGCACCACATAAAATTATACTCGTTGCGCAACCATATATGAATGAAGAGTGTTTATGTCCAAAATCTACCGAATCAGAAAAAAATATGGACTTTAACGCCAACAAATCGGTTGTTAAAAGAGGATTAACTATGCCAACACTGAATCCTTCGGCATTATGGACACCTAGTGTGTATTTCTATGATCCTCCAGAATACTGTAAAGCTCCTGACATAAGTCGTGAATGTGACTTTGAGTAAAAATTGATTTTCCTGAAGTGTTGTTCTGAACTAATTATCGATGTGATTGAAATATGCAACTACTTGCATAATATATATATATATTTTTTTTTATTAATATTGAAAACAATAACAAAATTTTAATTAAAGATGCTAGTCAAAATGTTAGGAGAATATGGCAAAAATGTATGAAGAAAGGCAAGAAACTAAATTTGATGTCTTCTTGAATAGAAATGCTGATAAATTTAATTATTGACATATTAAGATTAATAAACATATATTTTTGTTATTTCTGAAAAAAAAAACAATTTTTTTTGTAAAATTTTATTTTACTGAAAAATATATTCAATATATTTTATATATAAAATTGCTTTGCAAATAATAAAAATAATGTTTAATTTGCTTTATATATTCTAGTACAATTAGGAAACAAGTTCGAATAAAATCTATATACATTTATATATACATATATATTTTATATGTATTTATCCTTCTATAAGAAAAGTGCCTTAAATAAGTTTTAATATATTTCAATATCTTTTTGTAATTAAAAATAATTATAAATAATTTTTATTTTAATTTATTTATTATCTGCTTTTTCTAAAAACGGATACGAATATTCTTATTTGTGTAGAAATTAGCAATTATTTAAGAACTTTTTAAAACACTTTTAAGAATTTGAAATTATTACAAAAAGTTAAGAAATTTTTTTAAGTTCATTAAAAGCAAATGTTTGGAAAACGAATCTTGCAAACGAATTCATTTATTTTCATTTTCAAATAGTTATGTTTTATTCTTTTGTGTTGTAAATAAAGAAAAAATATTTCTCTTAATATTGTTCGAAAATAATTTTATATTACATCTATTAAAAATGCATTAACATTTTTTAATTTGATATTGTTAAGTTATTTTTAAAACATTAACAAAATGTTTTAAACAAATATTTTAAGCATAAACTTTGTAAATTTTTTTTTATTTTGTATTTAATGTTATATGCATGGTAATAAATATTTTACATTATATGTAGGTATATAAATTGTCATTCAGAAATACCGAAAAACCAATAAATTTTTTAAATTCGTAACAAATTAGTATTTTATTTCAAAAAAGTGCGAAGTTTATTTATTTTTTAATTAATGTATTTTATTTTTCTTCTTTTAATTAATGTATTTTAAAATAACAAAAAGAGCATAGTTGAAGTTGCAACAGTCTTTAAATGTTTTCGAATACTTAGAAATTAAATTGAAGTTAAGATATTCAAAGAATATAGTTAGGCCCATGTTATGTAGTGTCACGGGCACGTCAAAATCAAAATTGTTGTTGCTTTCAATGAAAATTGAATAATTGAGAGAGAAAGAAAAAAACAAATCTCGGTTTAGATTCGGTCAAAGCCGTATTGTATGTATGTATATATTTCCTTTAAGATTTAGACATAATCAAAAAGTACAAAAGTAATAGTAAAAATACGAATTTGATAAACGTATGTGACACTCTACATAACATGGGCCTTAGCTTTTGCTATTCTGACTATATAATGTCTGTATATTGTATAAATATTTTTATAAATTCTGTGTTCTATATTTTCCTGGTAGTACCATTGAACTAACGTCTTTCTTACAGCGAAGATACGAGTTATTTACTTAAATAGCAACTGCTTAGACTGGATATACAATTTGTTTTAATATATCTTGGAATGGTTAACATTGTCGACTTTCTTCTCTTCGTGGTGTTTGTCAATACAATATATTATCAAAAGCAAATTGGCTAAGTACAAATTAAAGTACATAAGTGAACAGTTTTTTGTCGTTTTTTAGACAAAATACTGTCCGCGAATTAAAAAAGAAATATAACTTTTAATTTATGTTTGAACACTTGCAAAATGTCCAAAATTGAGGGTACTTACCATTAATAATATTTATAGTTGAGGCATTTGGAGAAAATTAAGAATATATTTTATATATTCTATTTATTTTAATTTCCATTTTATAAGTTTAGTAATTATTTACTTAAACAATTGTATAGTTTCTAATAATAAAACTTTCCAAATGTTTTAAATCTGAAATCCACCATATGGTGTGATTTTAAAAAGAAATACTAAACTTAAACGGAGCATGTTTTGTTTTTAGCAAAGCCTCAAACCTTATTGTAAAAATTTCACAATATGTAAAAGAAATAATATGGACACATTAATATTAATAATAAGTTCAATAAAAAAAAATTAATAATAATACTATTAATAGAAATATACATTAATTGCAAATAAAATAAAAGTGATACAAAATTAAACAATTTTATTAGATATATGAAATTGTTTTATAAATATATTATTTTTGCCAACCCTGTCTCCATTTTGTAAACTGCATCTGTTTTTTGACGTTTAACACAATCGAATTGCTTGCTTATCGGCAAATTATAAAAATAAGCGAGTCGGCGAAATTTAATAAACATATATCTATTATAGAGTTGTGTTATTGGTTTTAATTATTTAGATGCTAAGAAGTAAAATGTGTGAAATAGGTGTAGAAATCCAAAATGTTTTAAAACGCATTGATGTGGCTTATGGTGCTCGCTCAAAGGTAACTAACTGTAGTATTTGCAAACTGTATGTTTAGTTTTATTTTAATATTCTGCATTTGATTTCGTTCAATTATTGTATCCTTATTTATAACTGTTTTCTTATATTAAGGATATTAAAACATCAAAACCATATTTAGTAGCTGTTAGTAAAACAAAACCAGTAAATATGATAATTGAAGCGTATGAAGCTGGACAACGCCATTTTGGTGAAAACTACGTTAAGGAATTAGTGGTGAAGGCACAGGATCCTGAGATTTTACAGAAATGTCCAGATATAAAATGGCATTTCATTGGACATTTGCAAAATAATAAAATAAATAAAGTAAGTGCAATATATGTAAGTAACCAACAGATGCACTCAACTGTTTCGTTATCTGCTTTTTATTTACTCTAATAATGTACATCACATCTTTTTTTTTTCATTTTTATGACTGTCTAGGTATTTTCCACTAAATCATTTTATCACGTCTCATTCTTATTGTAATAAACAGAGCTGGATGCTTGATTAAGAGGCACTCAAATCTGTTATCTATAATGATGTGATTTCTATTGCTTTATAGCGTCGTTGCCAATGGTATTTTTATAAAATTCTTAATTCGATGTATACCGCTTGACAGTTGTTTTTGCTCGCAATAATTCGCTATAACTTGTCCAGTTTTAAATTTAGTTTACAATTATACGTCAATATCAGGTTTATTATGATCTCATAAATAAATAATAATTCAAATGAATTAAATTTATAAACTCCATACAGTCTCACAAAAATTGTTATTAAATGATGAATGTAGATTTAACTGGCTTACGTCGTTAGTTACACCAGTAATAGGGGCCTCTTCGAGTAAATTTCTGCGTGTTCCTTTGTTATCTTTGTAGTGAAGTATGTTCTCTGGTAAAGCTCCAATAATTCCGCAAACTAAACGACAGCTAAAGAACAATATAGTAAAGCATATTTATTTAACTCATTCCAATTGTTTAGCATATTTGTTTTTTTTTTATAATAGAAAGATACTTCCAACTTCTTATTGATCTTAAAATCCCATGTTTAAAATCGCAACTTTTATGTCAAACATAATGCTGAAAAGATTAGTATGTGTTAAGGGTGGCGGTGACAGTACAATATAGAATATTAGATCCGATTCTATACTTAATTTCTATAACAGATAACGTCCTTATGACTATTTATCGCTATGATAATACACTACTAGCTTCTGACAAATTTTTGGATTAAGTTTATGTTTTATTACAAAACAAATAGAAGTTTGAATGTGGATTGCTAAAGTTAATATCAAAATGTTTGCTTCTTTTACATTAGGGGTATTCACGAACTCGGTTACAGAGTAACGTATTAAAAGTGCAAAGCTGCAACAAAATACATGTCGAGTAATGCGTTCCAACGGTATTATGTTAGTCTAGCCTTTACTTTGATCACTAACATTTATGTTGCACTTTTACTGTATTTTCAATTATCCCAATTTTCTTATACATAAGGAAAAAGTGTCTTTAATGTCTTTAAGTGTCTTTAATGAACATGTTTTAATATTAAAATATGTTTAATTCAGTAATCATTGATACGATGTGAATAATATCACGGTGATTAGAATAAACTACCAACATATTCCTTCTTAATATATATTCCTCGCTCAATATATCATCAATGTCTTCCTTATCACTACCGTCACCTCAAAAAATATTATTTGTAATAATCCGTACATATTATATTTTCCATATGTGGCTTACCATCAAGCCATTTATTCTGTTTAGACTATTTTTTTTATCAAAATATCAAGAATTTTGCTTTTTTTCACCTAACTTCGGCTTAATATTAATATTTATATTAGGATCTCTATTATTTTCACAATAATTTAGAAATTCATTACAACACAGCTTATTTTAACAAAAGACAAATTCGTTAATAAATCGACAAAACAAGGTGTGATCACGACTTAGAGTAAATTGTCCCATTTTTACTGTTACCGAGTTCTTGAATACCTCTATTAATTTAAGAAGTGGTGGATGCCAAAAACTGCTTAATAAAAAAATTTTTCAATGTATCAATGTTATTTAAGTATATATTTAGATAAAAGATTGACTTTGAAAACCCATGTTGAAGCAATAGGATAAACAAAACAATTATATGGGTAGGGAAGTGGATGGGTAGTGGTTGGTGGTGATGAAGAGGGGAATAAGGGTGAGTGGGATTTTAAAGAGCATTAACCAGGATTCAGTTAATAAGTAAATAGGAATGCACACTTAAGCCTTCTTCTGTAAGAAAGCTTAAGTTTATATATACTCTAAATAATATAATGGGCAAAAAAAGACGTATTACGTTTTCGCTTGTAAATGATTGTTTTTCTTCTTTGTGAAAAAGAGTAAAACTTTATTGACCTCTAATTATTCTCATGTGTTAGTTTAATTTTTGATTGCAGCTGCTCTGAGAGAAGTGTAAATGCACACTTTAGACTGTTTTTATAAGATTTCTTAAGTTTGTAATGTGAAGAGCATAAAGGAAATATTAAGTAAACAGTTGATTTTAACCTTTGTCCATAAACCTCTTGTGTGATACTAATATATATAAACGTCTAACAAGATATCAAGAACTGGATAGTCAATAAAGAAAATAGAAATTTTAATTTAAAAAACTAAATTATTCCGGTTAACTTGTTTGCAATTTTGTAGCTGACTTTTCGAACGTAAATAAATTTTTTAATTTATTAGTTTTTGTCAATAAAATTGAGATTTAATATTCCTATATATAGACATTTTTTCATTTAATTTATTTTTTGTTTCATTTCATGAATAGGTCGTTAAACTTCCTAATCTACATATGATACAAACTATTGATGATGAAAAAATTGCGACAGGAGTGAATGCAGCCTGGGAGAAATTAGATATTCCAAACAAGCAACCATTGCGTGTACTGATACAAATTAATACAAGCGGGGAAGAAGGTTCGTATATATAAATAAATAAATATTTTGTTAAATAATAAAAATTAATACTTTTTTTAAAGCCAAAAATGGAATCCAACCAAATGAAGCTTCAAGTCTTTTTAAATACATAAAAGAGAATTTAAAAAATCTGCAGTTGGAAGGTATAATGACTATAGGCGCATTTGGGCATGACTACACAACTGGTCCAAATCCAGATTTTATAAGTTTAATGAAAGTACACAATCAAATATGTATAGAAAACGAATTTCGTCCCGAAGAAGTACAAATTTCAATGGGCATATCAAATGACTTTGACAAAGCGGTAATTCTGGTACATCTAACCGTAGTAAAAAATTATTAAAAATATTTTCTTTTGCAGATTGAAATGGGTAGTACAATTGTACGTGTAGGAAGTTCAATATTTGGTTCGAGAGTAAACTAAAGGTATGTTATTTTTATTACTAAACAGATTAAGTTCCTTATAATATATATTGTATATATATGCACAATGTAGATTTAAACACGAGATATTATAGAGCATTTTACTTCAAGTGTCACTATGCGTGTAAAACCTAATTTGGTACATCAGAAAACAATCAACTATTACACTTTATATGTATGTAGTTAAATATTCCTATTTTATAATGTTAAAATATCTGTTGTTTGTTATTGTTTTAAATTTTATATCAAATTGTTGTAGATTGGATGATTTTTAATGTTAGTAATGAATTATTTTTATTATATGTATAAGTACCATAATTTATATGTCAAAATTATTTGTTTAAAAACACTAAAGGTACAAATATTCCAAAGAAAAGATGTTCTCGCTTAATAAAAAGTTTATTTTTTTTAATTTTTTTGTAGCATGATATTAAAAATGAATAAAATGAAATAAGAAAAATTTTATTTTATATTATTTTTTTGTTGTTATATATTCGATGTTTCGTGGTATGTTTTTCGCCACTTCAGGGTATATTAATTTTTAAATACAATTTTACATAACAGAACAAAGAATTTATTTATATACATTCGTAAAAAAATAGAAAATTTTAACCATATACATTATTAAATAAAACAGAAACAAAATAAATAATTTTGACATGAAATTTGTAATTTATTATTTGGTAACGTTTTGGATGGTGTAACCGGGTTTATATTCTATCGTATAATTAAAATTTCTACTTTAGAAAGATTATGGTTTTTTATTTTTTAATTTCTTTATTTTTTGAATGCAATTTGAAACTAAGTTTTTCAATTCCTACATCTAAAGTATATGTTTAGTACTACCATCATCTTAGTTTGTATTCAATTTACAGATTCTGCAATATATAGGTAATAAATTCACTTACAGAGATTAATATTGAAACCAATTTACACAAGATATATACACAAGATTGCGCAGGCAAGATATATAATAATACTCAACAGTGTTGGTTTAAAAAAGTCAAAATAGAAATTTTATTTTGGAATTGATTATTTCGAATACTGAGTCTATCCCCAAAATGATTAAATCTGCTGTTGTTCAGTTTTAGGCATTGAAAATATGTTCAGACATTTTAACATCCTTTTCAAAAAAGCGGCTAACGCTTGTCTCTTTTTACTCTATTTAAACTCTTTTTGAACTTTTTTTCTGAAATAATATCTCGGTCTGCAGTGCACTTTCAGAAATACGGTGATAATTTTGTTATATTCACTATTCAGTGACAAGAGTCTATTCGAGACTGAAAAAGTATGTAATTGGTGTTTGTAACATAAGTCGGTATGTTTTTATAGGACAAGTTTGTAATGTTCAACAATGTTGTATTATATTTTTATTTATATTAAATTAAATAAATGTTTCAAATACTACGAAAATATTGAAATTCTAATTAAAAAAATGTGGTGAAGGTGGTTTCCTATTGTTCTATTCTATAATTGTCAGATATATTTAAACTATCGTTTTCAATACGATTACCTAAGTCGCTATGAATATTTGTATTATTTAAGTCAAACAGTAAATTTCATTGTATTTTTCTTGTTCACGCTGCAGTTGCATTTTTGTACCGTCAAAAAGTAGACCCACAGATATGCTCTAAAGTAACAAAAAGTGTAGAAATGATTTTGTTTCCCAGATTAAATATTCCTTTGTTACCTCCAATATATACATATCATTATTACAGCATTATTACAGCTTTCTAGTATGAGCTACATACCTTGTGATCAAAAAAGAACTTTAATTTTTGAATTCCCGCGCTTATCCAATCGGTAATTTTTTTTATTTTTACGCTGGGAACACTATAATACACATTCTGTCGAAGTTTAACGCATATGGTACGATTAGTTTTTGTTTGGTGTCTATACAAAGAAGTCGAAAAATTTTCGTGTGACGTTTTTTACCTTATGGTCTCTATGGTCTCAAAACGCGTTCTTCGCAATGACAATTTGAGTCGGGAGAAGAAGAAAAAGTCACACAGGGCCATATCTGGAGAGTACGGTGCTTGGTTGATGATATTGGTGGAGTTTTTGGCCAAAAACTGCGGCTTTTTTTGAATAAAATTCAAAATTCAGCTTTTTGCCATCAGCCGCGACGCGACGCGTTTCAAACCCAAAACATCAGTTAAAATGTGTTCGGCCGATCCATATGAGATGCCCAACAACACTGCAATCTCTCTAATCGGTTCACAACGATTTTTCAACACGATCTGCTTCGCCGATTCAATGTTTTCTTCAGTAACAGATGTTGTTGGGCGGCCAGGGATCTCATCATGGTCCTAGCTTGTACGATCGTCTTTGAACCTTTTAAACCATTCGTATACTCGTGGTTGCGACACACACAAATCACCAAAAGCCTTTTTTAACAAATATTACCGATTGGATAAGCGCGGGAATTTAAAAATAATTAATTAATTAATTAAATCAATTAATTTTTTAATATAATTCAGCTATTCAAAAATGTGTAACTTTCATACATGAGTCCATATGCAATTTTCTAAATATTTAAGTTTTATATTAAAACACAAAAGCTGATACTAATATAAATCTCTGAGTTTTTGTTGTTAATTTAAAAATGTTAGAATACCCATAACTTTACCTCTTGTTGTTGTTGTAGCCTGCGGAGATTGTGTAGTCCCTTTTAGGGGTATAGAAGGGAACTTAATCGTCTAAATTGACGAGTGGTTTCGGGACGTAGATCCGTCCGTTTTTGAAAGTTTCATCGCTTAGTAAGCACTGATGCGTCAATTCAAGATACTAACTCAACTATTAAATATAACGCATGATTTATCTGAATATAGTGGTTTTATCTAAAATAAAAATATTCTGAATATAATAGTATGATAAATAGTAAATGAATATCAAGTACTAAAAACTGATATCAGCTGGTTTCTTCTGTGGCTTTTGAAAAATATATAAAAATATAATGATATACATACATGCACAACGATTTAAGAGGAACTATTATACAGTGTCAATTTATGTCAAAATTTATTAAGACTATTGGAAAATCTAACTGCTGTGGTTGTATTTTCATAGAAAATTTTACACCCAAGATAATTTGCTCTGTTTGTAGTCGTATCAGTATATGTACACATTATACATTCTACCATTTCCAGTATCTCATGACAGAATAAAGGAATGTTAGTGAATTGAAATTCACTAACATTTGACGGATATTTGACGGATTATCCGTCCTTAGTTAAGTATAGGTTTTTATATATTTTATGTGCACGTGATAAGCACGCAGAAATATTTAATATTCTTTAAAAATGTTAACATAATGTATATTCAAAAATATATATGAGTAGCATTAACCTCTAGCATAACGTATAATTTGTGTTAATTTGTGTTAATTTAGCAATTCCTATATATTCCAAAAATGTATTATATTTATTTTTTTATATATTTTTATATGTAATATTATTAATTCTTTTTTTTGTGAGTTTGCTCTATAATTGTTTCTTTTTGGGTTTTCCTGAAGTCCGTAAGCATATTTTTCTATCTGTTACCTCCGCAGAATAAATCAGCATTTATTATGGATAGGTATAATCTTCCTGCCTGTCCCGTGGGGCTTGATATCCAGTTCAATGATATAGGGTTTCTTCTAGATAGGGTTCGAAAGTTTGAAATATTTTTAGATCAAGTGTAATATTAAAGATGATATTAGGGTGCCTGAAATATCCTAACTAGCGTTGTGTTACTACCACATTTACACAAACCACCGTATTTTCTTTTAAAGGCGTGATTTATGAATTTTATAAATACCAATTAATTCTTGTGGTAGTGTTTTTCAATCTGCTTCTAGTTTCAGTCATTCATTTCTTAATAACAATTTAAAGAAAGTAAATAATTGTAATTATTATTAAAACATTTTTTTTATTAATTTTATTGAAATATTCACAAAATTAATGTTCAAATAAAATAAAATTTTTGTGATATACTCGCTGTTTATCAAAAAGAATTTATGAAGAATGTATCTACTTGTCGGTAATGTAGCTCTCTGATTGGATATATTTGTGGTATTTCAATGATATTTTGTATGTTTTACTTTAGCTTATAATAAAATAATGAAACGTAACTTACAAACTATAGTTTTAGTATAAAAGTAAAATTAAAAAATAATATTATAAAAAAAAATATAATAAAAAGCTGTATATGATGTATGTATCTTTACATATATACGTATATAAAATACTCATAGTAGGTAGTTGTAAAATATTTACAAACACAAAATATTTTATTTTTACAATTTAACTAAAGTAAAATTAAGCACATAAAAAATTTAATTTAAATTCTATAACAATTTTTTGTATTCATTGGTTCCCCACTGCCTCGGAAGGCTTTTATTACTCATCATATTGATTTAGTTCTATCTTCTCAAACAAGGTTCACAAGTGCCTGGTTTAACATACGATGGATGACATTCTGGACATTTGGGATTTTCGCCAAACCAATGTTGATGTTCTTCGACAGCATCACTGCGCCTGTCTGGTATCTTCAATTGAAATGAATTATATGTATCAGAGGCTAAATATCCGGTCCGTCCAATATTTTCTAGTGGAAATAAATATTCTGGTACTGAAAAATCTTTACGTAATTGCACTATATCTGCCGGAGCTGTTGGCACCACAACTTCACTTTCTGCGCGCTTATTACTTCTAGACGAAGTAGTAGGCTTAACAGTTGGTTCAGTTATACTGTTCTCCTTAACAGAACGTGAACTTGGTGTGCGTGTAGTTGACACTTCACTTTTAATTTTGCCAGCTAAAAATGGATTATTTGTAAATACGTTTGTTTGCGTTGCAGCAGTTTTTTGTTGGTCACCAGCAGAGGATATTGTCGGCAAAAATCCTCCAGCCGCATTAATAGCATTATAGTCTATTATCGTATCTGGATATTCACGTCCATCTACTCCAATAGGTGCTTCTACCTTTGGTGGTTCCAATCCATTTGATGGTACTTTCCATTCATAGTAAATAGGTGGTCCTTGTGTGGTGGCAACGTCATGTTGTATAAATTCTTGGAAAGGCGGTAAGAGATCGGTAGGTGGTGCTTTTGCTCTGGTTGTGCTTTGTGTTACCTTTTCTGAGCTTTTCTTATTTATTGTTGGAGTTTTAAGTATTTTCGATGAATTTACTGGTGGGCGTGGTGTAGGTGGCTTAAAACCTTGTGCAGGCGCAGGCGTACGTGTATCTTTAGATGTCTTGGGCAAATCAAAACGATTGTTTTGTGAATAATTTTGTTGCTGGAATGTATTTTGTGGACGTGAGACCTTTGTTGATATAGGTGGCGCTGGCGTTGTGTAAGTAGGCGCTGTGAATGGTTTACCAGCAACAGTAGTAGGGCGATTTGGTGCGCTTGTTGTTGTTGTAGTAGTGCTGTACGTGGTTGATGGGGCAGTAAAAGGTGTGGCAGTTGAAATAGCTAAGGGTTTGTCAGTTGTTTGTGTGTCATTTTGATTATAGATTGGGTAAACAAAAGGCGGTTCATAGTATTTTGAAGGCACCTTTATGGTATTGGCGGTAGTGGTGGCAGTTGATTTTAAACTTTTAGCAGCTTTGGTTGTTTTTGGTAATGCAGTAGTTGTTGTTGAGATAGCTGGCGCAGCTGTTGTATAGAATTTTCTATTATTGTAGGTGTATGATATTTTATTAGGGAGTTGTTCAGCTGAATTATAATCAGCAGATGTGTTATAACGTGTGCTGTGACTTGTACCCAGATCATCATTTTCTAGGTGTATGATATCATCATTGCGTGGACGCAGTGCTGCATTGTTTCGATTTTTAATGTGTTGTTGGTTCACAATTGGAGTAGAAGCCGTGGCTAAAATCATAGGTTGCTTAGCTGTACTGCTCTTAATAGCTGCAGTAGAAATATACTGTTTTACTGGCGGGCTTGTGGTCGTTCGGGTATTAGTAGTGGCTGTTGGTAATTTAGGTTTTGTAGTGGGCACAAATCGTACGCTTTCCGTGTTTGCCTTGGCGACAGTTTCCTCTGATACTTGTGGTTCGTATGCTGGCGGTAATATAATACGACTTGGTGGTGGTATTTTCCAACGTGTTTGTCCAGGTACAACTTGACTTGGTTGTGCGTCTTTATCACGATTTTTTTGAGCGTTATTGTCATGTATTAGATTTTGCGCTGCTGGTTTTTGCTAAAATATAAAAATAGATTAAGTTTAGAGCAAATAATGGTGTTGTGTTGATATACCTTGTATTGATTTCTAAATGATTCGCCAGAATAATCTGGTGCGTAAGGACGATCTAACAAATCAGGACGCGGTGTACGTAAATTGTTCTCTTCATCGTTAACGAAAGGTTTATCACGTTGACCTAAAAATATCGAGTAAAGTTTAATATTGGATTACTTCTAGGAGTACTGATTTTTTTAATTAGATATAAATTTTTTAAAAAATATAAAGTATAGCAAACGGGAAATATTAATTAAATTCACCGTTCCTTATCATAAAACTAATATATTATATAATAACTAACATATAACTCGCAGTAAAATTACCTATTAGCAAATTAGCAGCGTAATGGCTTTCAGCTTTTGAACAGTTTACCATATACCAGTGATCACAGATTAACATACGTTGTTGAAACAAAGTTGTATTCGGACAGGAATAACTAAACTGTCGCCCCAAGCCGTCACACATGTGATATACCTGTATTTTATATAAAATATATTAATCGCAAGTAGAAATAGAATGATAAATCATATGAAAAAGGAAAATAAAAAAGGATACAAAAAAGATACACAGAAATAAGATGAAGAGAAAAAGATACAAAATATTAAAAAGATTGCTATTGGGAAGAAAATATATATATGTAAAGATAAGAACAGATGTGTAAAATAAAAAAAAATATAATTAAAGTTAACTAGTTGTCTGGGTGATAGCAAACAAAAAAAAAGTAATAATAAACATATAGAGAGCATATATTTTACCTGGCATCCAGTTTCTACATCTGCATAATAACCAGCGGGACGTCCGGAACATGAAAACGAGGTTTTCTCAAATGGATGATGAGCTCCAATAGCATTTTCACTCTAAAATAATAAAAAAATAAAATTGCAGTACATAAATAAGTTCGATGTAATTATATTAACCGTAAATTTAGACTGATTATACGTTTTAAGTTATATAACTATAGGAAATAGGAATAGGAAAGTGGCGCAAATTTAGATAAATTTTTTTTATGAGAACTCTAATAATAATATTCCCTAAAATTTTGCTAAATGAATTGTTAAATAATTATTTTTTGACATAGTCATTCAGAATATTTCTTAACTTAGAGAGTGATAACAGTTGAAATGGGTTTTTTCAGATGTCTTAAATTTTAACGTAACAAAAATTATCTCCATCATAGATTAAGTATAGTAATATACTCCATCAATAATGTAGTGAATGTAGCAGTTTTTTAAAATTTGGTTGTATCTTAGTATCAATTATCAAAGGAATGCTTTAGTCAAACATAAAAGTTGTTTTTATTTCAGTAAAATTCTTCGTTAAAGTCATTCATCTTTTGGTTTTATATAAAATTATAGGTCTTAGGGGACCCTAGTATTTTACTAGACGGACTCGCAGGTGAGACTAATCCCAAGTACTCACCCCCTCCGTAAGGAGGGCCTCCACGTGGTGGTCCCTGGTAACGCTTTATAGCGGCTAATGCGAGACATACCCGCTTTCTTCTTATCCCTAACACTCCTAACTGTATTTACTCTAAACTCCTCTCCTAATTCTTCTCAATTTTCCCCCAATCCGGAATTGCGCGTGTTTATCGGATTTGTTTGCAGTCGGGGGTAACAGACTGTATTCTAGCGTCGCACCTCACTGATACCTGCCCGCCTCAGTGAGTAACTGTGGGCTTACCGTGTTATCGGGGGCTATGACACGGCGGACCTCAAATCCCCCACACTCGTGGGATTTAATTATGGAAAAAAACAATTTTAATAAAATCAATAAACTAGCGGCCTTAAATACCGCATTTCAACTAACTAACCAGGTGAATTATAATATCCGAAATAATAATCACCAGGTTCCGTCTCCTAAATGGAGAACAGAAAGCAAAGACACCAAATTCAATAAATTTAGTTCGTTGCCGCACACAACATCTGCAACTACAAGATTTATAACTAAACCAAATGAAAGTATAACATTTATGGGCTCTGGGGAATTTTCTACACCGAAAGGGATATATCCACAGTCCTTCACAAATACTTCAGTGGTGCCTGAACGTACTATCTCATATAGAGGGGTTAGAAGAGCATTTGGTCTAAGTGGTGCAGGTGCGAAATGGTATTTACGTTATGTTCAAGAAGGCTTTTCGCCGGAAGAAGCTAAACAGAAGGTTCTCGAACGTACTTCAAATACGATAAAACGCGGTGCACATGTAAATTATTCGACTTATGGAAACCCTGCCAAAAAAAGCAGGGAAGATGCGAAGACGCAACCTTCACCAATGCATGATGTATTGAAACCTGCTTTAAAGTCAGTTGCATTAAAAGTAAAAACTGATCCAAAATTAGATGCATTAAAAACTGCATTTAAGGATGCGTTAAAACCTACACCAGGTGTCAAAACACCTGGCATCGCCAATGGTTTAAGACTGGCTGTTGCACCAAAAGCTTACCCAGCACATACACTATCACGTGAGGACCAGGGGAAGATTGAACAACTTCTTGTAAGTGAAATGTGTAAAGGATGGAAATCCAAATTAAAATTCGATGGCATACACTTTCGGCCAGGCCTCATACTAATCGATTGTGTAACTGAAGAAGCCGCTGAATGGCTGGAATTAACGATACCAAAGTTAACCGGCTGGGAAGGTATGGAATTGACTACATATACTGAAGACAAAATATTTGGTCTGCACATGATAACCGTATGCTTACCAAGGGCAACGGGTATCGAAACAAAGGATCTTCTCGATCTATTAATTACTCAGAATGACGGTCTCCATACTCATCTGTGGAAAGTTTTCAGCAGTAAGGAGATAAAGAATGGCAAAGTTCTCACAATTCGCATTGATAGACGGTCTCTGGAGGCAATTAAAGCTAACAACTGTAGGATGTCCTACAGGTTCGGTTCAGTTCCTGTTCATTTAAATAAAGGAGATGAAAATTCAAAAGCTGACATTGATAATATGCATGGGGCCGAAACGCGAATAGACGTAGCCGAAATACCAGCAAATGTAGCTGAAAAAGTAGATAACGAAGCAGTCGGTAGCGATGCGCGAGAACAAGTCAATATATCATCTCACAAAAGTGAAGAAAATGATGACGAGGATACGATGATAGAAAATTTGGCCGATTCAGATGCCTCCAATAGAGTCTCACTGTCAGACATCGATGATGTTTTGGCTGTGAATGAAAAAAAATAAGTAGGAGGTTAACCAGTTTCGCGGTTACTCGGTGGTCGTCGTCACAACAATAGTCGGGACTAAGTGGGATATAGCGCTAGTCTAAAACCCCTGGATTTTCATAGATTAAGTCCGGACTGTTGCTGCAACAAATATGCAGGTAATTGGTGTGGTGAACTAAGAGCATAATATTATGAATTATTTTTGTTTTTCAGAGCTGCTATTTAAGAGTCAGTAACTTGAATCTCGATCAATATGAATGAGAACCCATGACACATGATCGTAATAACAGCAAATTTAACAGATGATAACACCCGAGTAAATCGCAAAATGGTTTAATACTGTAAAAGAAGAAATCTGCCTCTATACCTTTTCAGAATATCAATACGTCTAGCAAGGTATGGGGACCATAGACAAGCGGGGTGAGTAGCTTCTTATATTTAGTATTAGAAATAAATTAGTAAATTTTGATTGGAATAATAAACTAACATTTGTGTTTGGGTCTTTATATTTAATACTCTAGGCTGCGAGCTAGTTAGCGATATAAAGTATTCAATAAATCTTCATTATCAATAAGATTTGATATTACAGGCTTCAAATATCAGAATAATCTGAGAATGCCAAGAAAAATAGATTGGATAAATATTAAGGAAATTTGAAAAGTCATTTAAAATTAGTGTAGAATTTAAATAATAAAGTGCCTAGAAGATTGTAATTAATGTTTAGCACTTAAAATTTCATCTTTTACATAGCTTTGAGTAAACCTGGGTTTATAGAATTATCTAGCTACTATTGCAATATCATCTGCATAAACGAATTGTTATGTCATCAGGAAGACAAATGTTAATTATTCCGTCATACTTTGTATCTACTGTATAGATCCCAAAACTAATCCTTGGAAACCTCTCTTGTTACTTTGTAGTGTTTTACTTTCTTATCAGTAACAGAGTCCAGTGTTCTACTATAAAAGTAATTATGCGCTATTTCGTGTAAACTCTCCGCTACTTTACTCTTTTCAGTGATTACAATTTATTGGACTAGTACGATGAGTAAAATGCAAATAATGTCTTTAGTATCCATTGAATAGAACCGAATTTTTTTGGTAGTTTATAGCAAGTGAATCAATCGCTGCTTTTTTTAAGCATCTGTATAAACTTTTTTAATAATTTCATAAACATTTTACTTAACACTTTTCTTAAATGTTATTTCGGGTTTCAGAGCTACATAGTTTGTACCATCTTTCACAGACGATTTATCAGCCAACTTCGCTTAAATTGCGTTTCATTCCACCAAATTCTATGTCTTCTTACGCAGGAGAACTGTTTTTATCATTTCGCATAAGACCTGGGATGTTTGGTTATCTTTAATTTTTTGCATGACTGTTGTTTATACTAATTTCAATAATTAATGGAATGCGTTTGTGCTTTGAATTTACTGTAAACAATATCTTACAGTTTTTTTTCTTCTTGTAACGAAAATAATGGCTTTATGATCATAGAACATATACACAAATTTACTTCTGACATAATAAAATTATGTGCAAACGTACGATTTATAAAGGAGTGGTCTCTTCCTATTTCCTAAGTGTCCTGCAATTACTTTTGTTTGTTTTTCATGAGCCTGTATTTTTAAAGCTAATAATACAGCAAAAAATTCTTTTACTATTTTGCTTGACATAATATAATAAATAAAAAAGTAGATGTCTTTTACTTTTTCTCAGGTTCTTTAATCTCGTCATTTTTGTATTGCATTTCCTAAAACCCATATTCTTCATATAGTGAAGAAAAACAAACATTTTGTTCCCAAAATGTTAATACAAATTCTGCATGCAAATAAAAATAGATAAGTAAGCGTTCTGCAACCTTTTTTACTTCTACTATTAGTTTGATTTTAGCTGTTCCACGAATGGATTTTATTTCCCTCCTTGTTTTAGGAGTTTATTTAAAAATAAAGTGCTGTTTTTGTGTACTTCGTTGGCAGTATTGTGGAGGTTATGCATCTTTATTTTACTCTCCGTTTCCAGTTGACCTCTTAGTTTAACAATTCCGCGTATATGCTATTTTTTACTCTAAAGTAGTCATAAATCTATTACAGCATATTTACTTTAAATATATTTGCTTTAATAACGTAGGTTTCACGTTGTATTATATCATACCATTAGCTCCAACGACACCTGTCCATTTTACTGTCATGGCATTGCAGTCGTTTGATATTGACGACAAAGTCCCAGCCTGCCCAGTTGCTGGGAGTTTTATCACATGCAAATAGTCTTGTAAAATATGTACGCCTTCATTTGAAATTTTTACTACTTTAGCAATCTCGAGTTCTTTGACTTGGCGACCTTCTACCAATAAATAATGGAGTTTATCTATCACAGCCAGAGTTGTTAACTCATACGGGCGTCCTTTGATTCATATGATGTTCCAGAGTATCCATATTGTTTGATAAGCTTCCTATGTGTTTTTTCTTTATTTTTGGTAATTGTTTGGTTTATGTTTTTTTCTATAATAAATTCTTTCTCTGTCATGTGAATATTGTAGCTATGATCTCTGCGTTTTGTTGCTGCCATTTGTAAGGCTAAACCTTTTGCTTTTCTCCCTGCTTTGATGACATTCCTATGTTTTGAATATTAACTTTACAACAATTTTTAAAAGTCATATTAACTTAAAAAAAAATAATATAAAATAAATTAAAGCACAAAAAAGTTCTTAAGCAATAAAAACATTATAGATAATAACTAAATTTAAAACTACCAAATTACAAATACCAGGTGTACCGGTATGAAATGAGCGTTTTTTGGTGAAAATAAAACACTAATTATTAATAGGAAAGTAAAAAACATTTTATTCAAAGTATTGGTCATTGCTTTCTACACATTTTGACCACCTTTCTGGCAATTTGTGGATACCACGCCAAAAAAATTGTTCGTCTTTCAAAGCAAACCAACCAGACACCCAATTTTCGACCTCCTCGTAGGAATCAAAGTGCTGCTCAGCCAATGCGTGTCCCATCGATGAAAACAAAAGGTAGTCGGAAGGAGCCAAGTCTGGTGAATACGGCGGGTGGGGTAGCAGCTCCCAGCCAAGTGTTTTGATTGCATCCTGAATCCGTTTTGCTTTGTGTGCAGGTGCATTATTATGGAGCAGAATTACCTTGCCGTGTCTTCTGGCCCATTCTGGTCGTTTCTCGATCAATGCATGGTTCAAATTTATCATTTGTTGTTCATGGCGACTAGAATTGACGGTTTCACCAGGTTTTAGGAGCTAGTGGTACACCACAACTTTCTGATCCCACCAAACACACAGCATTGTCTTCTTGCCGAATCGATCTGGGCTTGCAATCGATGTTGATGGTTGTCCCGGGTTAACCCATGATTTTTTCCGTTTAGGATTCTTAAAATAAATCCATTTTTCATCGCCAGTAACAATCCGATGCAAAACCGATTTTCTTTCGTGTCTTTGAAACAAAATTTCACAAGTGTTTTTTCGGTTTTCCATCTGTCTTTCATTTAATTCATGTGGCACCCATTTTCCCCACTTTTGGATCTTTCCCATAGCTTTTAAACGGTCAGAAATTGTTTGTTGTGCAACATTTAACATTTCTGCCATTTGCTTTTGACCCAAAGTGTCATCTCCATCCAATATCGTTTGCAATTCGGCGTCTTCAAACTTTTTTGGCGGTCTTCCACGTTCTTCATTTCTCACATCAAAATCATTATTTCTGAACCGTTAAAACCATCTTTTGCATGTTGCTTCTGATAGAGCATGATCACCATATGACTCGACAAGCATTCGATGCGACTCTGCACCACTTTTCTTCAAATGAAAACAAAAAATTAATGCTTTCCGCAAATCATCAATTTCTGGTACAAAATTCGACATTTTTAACATGATGAAAAAATATGATGTTGTCTGTTCAATGACTTGATGTATACTAAATATATTTCTCACATGTCATAGCAAACAAACAAAAAAAAATGGCTCTTTCACAACAAATGTTCCCTGTCGGAACATTTGTATCTTTACGCTCACTTCATACTGGTACACCTAATATGTTTTGTAATGTTATTTGGTGTAATATTATCTGGTGCAATTATAACCGACATATTTTGAGAATGAAGGAATCATTAGGCTATCCATAATTATAGGAAATGGTGAGTAAAATACAACAAGTTATCGAAATGACAAACGAAAAAATTAAACCAATTTTTAAAGCAATCCAAAATTTTATGGTTTTTGGTTTCTTTTTAAGGCTTATTGATATTATTTAATCCAGAGTCTATACTTATAAACCAGTATAAATGCTTTTAATTCCGCAATAATCTCATCCACTGGCCATGTATTTCTATAATTTTTCGTCAAAAAATTGATATAAAACGCTCACTCTGTTCCGTTCATTTTTTTAGACTGTATTAGATTATATTAGGAATTCTTCTGATGATGGCAAAAGCGAATTTGCCGAAAAAAAAACAAAACCGAATTTCAAATATTTTCGATATAACCACTCAAAAAATTTAAAACAAAACTATATTAGCCTAATTTAATACTGCCATCCATCTATACGCCGAACCTTGCAAATTCTTTACGAGGTATTCGGTCGTAAATATCTCCAAGAAATCCATCAGAAACACATTTATTCTTCTTTAATGGTGGCTTTGTAACCGTTAAGGTTTAACAATTCTTTATTAATCTGTAATTAACCAATAAAGATAGTTTCAATAATCACCTTTAACCTCACCTGAGGTTAATTACGAAATCATTATTATTATTGTATCGTTTTTTTCAGAAGAAATAAAAATCCTTTTTATTAGATTCTTTTATCTATTAATATAATTATTTCCCATTTAATTATTTATAATTTTATAATTTTTAAAACTTTAATTATAAAAACATTTTTACAATGCACTCCTTATTGCTTTTATTTGTTAACACTTAACTCAACTATTTTTGCTAATCATATCCAATAAGCAATCTTTCTCCGTGATAAATAAAATATCATGGGTCAATCTACTTAATGACAACGTTGATCTTTAAATAAACTTTATGGTCTCAGATTTATGCTGTCACAAATCACTTGGTTTAATGCAAAATGAAATAATTATGTCAATCAATTTGGCACAAATAATTACAAAAAGTGATGACTATCGACTTCATGACTCGGTGCTCAAGCACTTCAGATGGGCAGATTGCATTCAATGGTTCAACAATATGTGGTGCAACAGCAGAAGTTATCTGCCATAATGACATGATTGCTATCTCTGAATAATCAACTACGTGAAGTAGAATATTTGCCTTCTCAATGGAATTACTTGGCTTGATAGCCGATAAAATACTTGATATGATCATAATTTTCAGTAATTCATTTGGCAACTGTGCAAGCATGCAGAAGCGATCTACTTGGATTTGTTGGAGATCAATTTTAAAGACATAAAATAATATTGCATAAAATAAGTTATCGAGATATTTAATATTTTTTAATTTTCCACAAAGTTGTCAATTGCTTAATTAGTAATAAAAATATTCGTTGTCGGAAAATAAGAGTTGTAAAGGAAAAAAAATTTAATAGGTAAAAAATCAATTAAAAGCAGAAACTGTACTCTCACTAAGCTTTTATAGTGTGTTTATCTGCATTAAGTGAATTTACTTCCTTCTATTAGATTTAGATTTAGAGTTGCAGTAACTAAAATAAGCCCCAAGATGCAAGATTATTAGTATTTTTAATTTTTATTTGATATGACATATGACATATATCATATTTAATTTCTTGTGAAATATTACGGAGAAATATAAATTTAGTTGTTGGTTGTTTAGTTCTTTTTGATTGGAATCTGCAGGATTTCGATGTTAGATGTTACTGTAGTGTCACACAACTATGAGATACTGTTAAATAGGTTTTAGAAAAGTTGGATGCAGCAACAATTTGTTGTTAATTGTAATTGATAAGTTTCGATTTGTGAGTAATTGCAGATTTTTGGGTTTATAATCTTGTTTTGAGAATATTATATGTATATATATGTTTTCCATCCAATTTATTATTAACAATTATTAATAATTGGTTGGATATTTTGTTTTTTTATTTTGTTATATGCTGAATATTTTAATTTAGCCATTGATGGGAAAATTTTTCGAATGGAAGTGAATGTTAATTTATATGACTTTGCTTTATTGGATTTGATTTGCAATAAATAAATAACTTAATAGTAAATAACTTATTAACAATAATGACTACCTCAGCGAATGATAGATCGTATGTGTACAGTAAATATATAATATGGCCTGTAATAATGCCCATTCTAATATTCCAACTAAGATTTCACAAAGTTTTGATTATTAATTACTTTATGTGACAAAAAAGTAGAAGTTAAAGTAGGATGGGTAACATAATATATTATGTCAAACCCTATGAAATGATGCTGACATATCAAGAAACGTAACACGCCAACTATTTTTTTTGTATGAATGCAGAGTGGATATATTCAACAAGTTAATGTACCTTTGAATTCGTACTGTTTTTTTTTTCAAATCTCGATGAATTGTCAATTAATTTTCTTTTTCCTTTTTTTGGAAGCAATTTAGGATAGAGTCCTAAAACAATTTACGAAAACTGACAGGTTTACCAACACCGCGTTATCGAATCTCAGAATGGTTACAGGGTTCTCGGCGCGGTATGCATATTTGAGGTCAATTATTGCTTAGTCTGATGAAGTGATAAACAATAATGCAGTCAAGGCGTAAAGAGAGGTTTAATAGAAACCTTACAGTTAAAAGAGAGTAAAAGTGCTCAAGTGCACTGACTCAACTAGCTTCAACATAATAATAAAGCAATTTGTATTGAACTGTACTTACAAGGCACTGTAGACTCATAAAGAATATAGTTGTAGTAGAAACTGATTCCTGTCGAATTTGTCATGAGGAGAAGAAATGTAGAAGAAATTAAATTGGTAAAATTGAGCCCGCAGCAATTACGAGATTTATAAATAGTTTAGAATATTTTGAGTTTGGCATTTAGACGCATGATAGATCTTTTAATTAAGTAGAAATAATACTTGCACCTGGAATTAATAATGCATTAATCAGGTAGGTTAGTAATATTATTTCTTCCCATGGGAGTTGTTTTAATTATAATACTAGCAATAAGATCACTGTTGATCCATTTTACTAGTCACTACTGTAACATCTGTTTTAAAGAATTTGATTAGAGTTAAGTCGTTCTGATTGTTATTTATTGTGCAATGTAGCACCCATTTCGAAATTAATTCTAGTTCTAGTATCATATGAGAGTTGTGAAATTGGGTCCATCGCTTTAGCTTACTTTTTGCTTTCTAAAGAGAGTAGACCATAATTTTGTTTTGATATTAGTTGAGAGTTCAGCTATGCTCAGTAGCTATTGTGATATTAAATTATTGTATTACGTGATTGTATTACTTTTACAACCCAAAGTGGAAGTAAATTGTAAGGTTTTTTTGTGAATGCTAAGTTAAATAAACACAACATACAGTATTTCTATGAATAAATGAAAAACAAGTACTGTTTGGGTTATTCACGAACTCGAGTAAATGAGTGCAGTAATCAAGTACCATGGTAATGTTGTAAACATCAAAATTCATGTACTCAAAATGTATTTGCTATTGCAGCAATTACTCTGCTACTCGGTTGTCGAGTTTGTTACGCAAGATTGTGAATACCCTTTAATATTTAATGTTTATTTTTAAGTTATTTTTAAAGTATTTTATTACGATTTAAAATAAAAAGTAAATATTATTAAATAAATATTAAATTTAATAAATAATTTTAGTATGATTATAGTTTCTCAAGCAGTGCAATTTGAGTTTGAATTTTGGTAAAATCGGCTATTCTGATCCATTTGTTTTTTCACGCTATACTATACGTAGTTGTTGCTTGATTTTTGTTATATATCGGGCTATAAAGTTCCACTTTTCGGCTGTAAAGGTGTTTGATTCGGTACCTGCAGGTATAAAACACAGTAAAGGACGTCCGCATCTTCGGTGGAATGAGCAGGTGACCAATGATTAAGGGGCGCTCGGTATTATCAACTTGCGACAGCAAGGTTATTCGAAGTAGCCCAGGACTACTTACGTCTGTAATGGTTGTAATGTAAAGTTGTAAATTACGGAAACAACATTTACAGCAAGATGGGCGCTCAGAATAGCGGATTTTATAAATTGTATGGTCAAATTGCAGCGATTATAAAACTGTAATCGTGCAATATTTTTTAATACATTATTTTGTCGAAAATTATAGTATTTATTTTTTCTCTTTGTAGACTTTCTGAATGATTCAATCATTGTTGGCAACATTTATAAACTGATCTATAATGGAATCGTAATTTGAATAACTACAAATATCTCTATCGAATGAAGGAATTAACAGCACAAAATTAAACAACACCATTATAATATAAAGATAGTATTTATATTCATAATATGCATTACAAAAGAATACAATGGATTCACTACATGAAATCTGATCTAGTTCCGGGTTCAACTTTAATATCTACTGCAATCAAATATTGATGCGCAGTACAGTACTTGGTTTTTGTAGTACTCACATCGTTTACACTTGAATAGGTAGATCCGATGGATAGAGAATGGTTTCCATTAAACCACGAAAATGGAATTTGTAGTTTCCATTAAATTGAACAACTCATAATTAGTCAGATATATTGTTAAACGTGAGTACACGGACAATTGTTATATTTGTGTGATTGTACATCGAATTTAAAAATTTATCACATGGATGTTTTTGTCTAATAAATCATTGAAGAGTCATGGAAAGTGCGCATCGGTTAGAATATTACATTTCAATATATAACACGATATATTACTTAATATAATTTAATTCTCTTCAAATATGCAAAATGTATACCTTTAATTTCTTTTATATTGTGTGCTAATAAATTGATAATCCAAATATTTGGTAAACCATTTAAATAATTTTTCTTTGTAATTAAAATTTTAAATAAAAAGTAGAATATTTTGACATCATATACCGAAAAGATGGACTTTGTTGCAACAAATAATAGTCTATAACGAACTTAATAAACTAAGTTTAACTACAGAATAAAACAGTTTTTAGTATCTCAAATATATATTTAACGATATGCATTTAAGATATTTATAAAAACTGGGAACAGAAATGTCGATTTGACAGTTATGAGTAACAGAACATAATTGTAAAAATATAAACTTTTAGATATTGTTGAAATTCCGATTAACTTTTGATCAGGAAGTAAGATTAATCATCGATTTAATCTCAAAAGCCAGTTATCAATTATTAAAACCGAACAGTAAACCAAATTAGCAGATTGCAAATTTTTGACTAGCAAATAGTGAATACATTTAAAACTTATAAACAAATTGGGTTGGTAATAGTAATAATGTTGCTAATGATATTCTTTGGACCCTCCAAGGTGTAAGAAACAGAGGACGCCCCAAGATGACATGGCGTAGAAACGTTAAGGAAACGAATAAAACATTTAATAAGTCAAGACATATAGCTAGAAACCAATATTTGTGGAAATTCTATGTAAAAAGACAAAGTTCTTAATTCATTCCTTTGATGTAGTGCTAGAACATGTCAATAAAAAATGATATTCTGTATTGTGATTAACTTAAGCTCCAAAGTTAGTTCGTTTTTAACCCCATAATAAAGTTTTAAGGCACTTTCAATTAGAAATCTTTGTATTTAATATTAAAATTGGCGATATGAGATAGGCACTTGAAAAAGGAAGAGCCGAGTGTTAAGGAAGAACCTAGCAATAAGGAAGTAAGTCAGTCATATAATAAAGATTCTAACCATATGTCATGTCTATCTATGGTAACGGCGTCCCATCCGTACGTTAATTGTGCAAAACTATAAGAGGTGAATAAAATATATCATCTTTGATGATATGTCTATGTTTATGATTATCTATTTTATAACTAGTTTTACGGAAGCTGAAACATATGCCCAAATATTTTTAGATCAATGTTAAAGCGTTGAAACACCGATGCCCAACTCATCGCCCATCAATTTGTTCAATAAGTTAGCTAATGACAAACGTTTTTAATTGAAAGATTCAACTTTAAATAAAAGTAGATTTTAGGAATATAAAATTAACAATAAAACGTTTTCGACCTTAACGTATAGGTTTTTACAATAAATAAAGAATAAAATATAGTATTAAAATAAGTAAATAATAAGAATACTATTTATTTTGCTTTAATAAAATCTATTTTATATCATATATAAACTTGCCGCATGGGGTGGCAAGTTTATAACATGAAGGTATTAAAATATCAGCTGAATATTATTTGTTTTCATATAATAATTTTTCTAGATAATCGAGTACAATAACAATTTCATGTATACAATGTGGTGATATTCAATATTTTGAAATTTTCAATGCAGTTAGCATATTTTAATCTTTTTCCAATTCATATATGTATTTCAAATTTTTTTAAACAGTTGAATGAATAAATTTAATAAAAATATTTTAATATAATATATCTTTCCCATTAAATCATAGATTATTACCATCAATCCCAGACTACCACCAAATACTACAGACTACCAACACTGTTGTGTTTACAGTTCTTACATTCTCAAATATTTGACAGAACAGTGCGTTGAAAAAAAAAACGTCATAAAGTTCAATATTTTGAACGATTTTAATGAACTTAATGCATTTAAGCTTTATTCTGTTTCCCTTTCCAATTCTATTTTATTATTTTTTAAATTGTCTATCTGTCTATCACAGACTGCAACCATTTTTGAGCAACATTTACCCTGCTTACAATTCCTAGACACTCAAACATCTTAAATGACGTTGCATTACGACTAAACATCTGTTATCGGATTATAAGACGTAGTGAGTATAAATTTTTTCAGAGTTGGTAACTCTAGCACTTAAATCGTATAAATTAATGAGCACAAAATGTAACTGTTTGAAATGATTTATTTTTGTTATATTGTATCCATCAGATATATTTTATTAAAAAGCCATTATACATATTTTTTTATTTTAGAATATAATTAGTTTTACATTGTTTTTTATTATTAATAAAAAAAGTAATATTTCTGTTAATAATTTGGTTCTATCTTTTTATGTGCCGAAATAGCTCAGTTGGGAGAGCGTTAGACTGAAGATCTAAAGGTCCCCGGTTCAATCCCGGGTTTCGGCAAAGCAGTTTTTTTTAAATTGTTTTTTTTTAAGTTTATTTTAGTTTTTTTTTTTAATATTTTATAATATATTGATATTTATTTAAAGTTATTTTTTGATATATATATATATATTATATTTTCTTTTTTGTATTTTTATTTAATATTTTTTGTCTTTTATATATTTTTAATTTTATGTTTTATATTATATTTCATATTATCTATATATATATAGACAAATTTTTCTATAACTCGAATTGTCTATAACTCAAACTAAATAGAGTGCAACAGTGCTTAGAGAGCAAATTAAATGCAATTAAAAAAAAATCTTTAATTAGAGGTCTCCATACGTCGAACCTTTTCTTTGCAAAATGGGACTTCGAGTTATGAAAGTTTGGAGGTATGCATATTGTTTACGTACTCGGTAACAATGCTTATAAACAAATTCGTAGTTAAGTTTTAATCTTATGTAATGATATTATCTTATGTAAACGGTATTATTTCAATAGTTAACACTCGCTGATTACCTTGATAAGAACATATAATAATAGCGAATATTATATAAGGTTATTGTTGAGTTGAAATAGAACATACTATATATAATAGCATAAAAAAATGTGGGCAATGCACTGCCCACATCTTCGTTGGTTACAATAAACAAAATACATAAATTAGTCTTTGAGTTGTAAAATGCATAGGTTTTAGTCGTTGTCCACCGTATTCTCCAGATTTGGATTCCATAGACTTTTAGCATGCTCCCGGAAAAAAGATCTTCAAACAATTAATCAATTTTGAGAGTTTAAGTAATTAATTAAATGTCGAATTTACTTAATTCAATTTAAATTAATTAAAATATTAGATAAGCATTACAACGTTGACAATGGTGTTAAAAGGTAGTCTATATTTATGAGTAAGCCCAATGATACCTGGTAGGCCCAAGCAAATGTAGAAGAGTACACTAGAGAAAAAATTCAAGCAAGCGAAAAAACCTTTGGAGAATTTAAAATCCTAGCAAGAAATCGTAATAGTTGGAAAGAGTTACTTATAACCCAATGCTCCCATGGGTATGCAATGGAATGAGGAAGTAGAAGATATTTATAAATAAAATCGATTTTTGAAACAACATTTTTAATAGTTACATTCGAAAATTATTAAATGTGTTATATATAAAATATTAACTTTGTTATATATTTATTTATATTTATTCATCAAGAAATTGATGTTACTGTAAACTGAATGCTTAGAGTATATAGTGCTCTTCTGTTGTTATTTAAATTTTTTTAAGTAAATTTTTCAAATAGCACCAAGCCTTTAAATTTTCTTTTCTCATTTCAACAATTCTTTTTATTTAAATTACATAAAAATAAGTTATTTAAAATGCATTCTGCCTTGAACTTAAGTTGGAGCGCCTCTTTTGTTTTTACTGGCGATGTGTGGATTCTTCAATCAATATTCACACCCAGTTTTGAGAAGAAAAAACAATTCGTTCTGCTTTAAGTCGCTTCGGCTGCTACACACTTACCATTTTAAGTTTCAAAGTTAGTTTTTATATTCAAATTCAAATATGAATGAATGAAGTAATTAAATATCTTTATTGTATATATACTTCACATTATTTAGAATATTATTTATAAATTTAAGATGCTGTACTCGAATGTACTACTGAGTAATTTAGTAATAGGATTACTGTGGGCGTTGAAAATAGTAGCCCATAAAATACTTGTAGTTATAAAATTAGTTACAGCC